GCCCATCACCACAGCAAGGGCTTCTGCTCTTAGATGATTTTGAGAGAGCTGTGTAAACAATGTCCCATGGCTCAGAGAGAAATTTCCTGGTGGGAAAAACTTCAAATATTTGAGAAATTTACTCACTTCTAGATGAAACAGAACTTCCTTTTATTTTTAATCAAAAGGCAGTGTGACTCATTTAGAAAAGGTGGATGTGTGTGTGCATAGGTTTTGCAGATCTGGAGTGGGCAAATGCAGGGAGTTTAGCAGTGGATTAGAGCTGGCTGCTGTGTTTCTTGGAGAGGCTGGGTCTCAGTGCAGAGGGATCACAGCAGCACCCTTTGCTCCCTGGGCTGTGCTGGCCTTGGTGTTTCATGTGAGCAGCCTGCTTTGACAACTGAGCAAACCCAGCTCCCCTGGATGTGCATGGAGGCTGTGCAAGGGTTTTCAGGCCACTGGCAGTTGCCTAGGGGAGTGAGTTACCTTGCTGCTCTCCCTTGATAAATGTGGTTTAATAATTAATGTCCATCTGTAGAAGATGTTACTTCTTTAGCTTGTCTAAGCCTGGACAAGGAATTTGCTGACCCAGGTGTACATTAGAGACATAAGCTTCATTATTGCTAATGAACCAGATAGGGAAGTATTGCCAGGAGTCTCTGTTTTTTGCAAGAGATAATTAATGGGAAGTGTTGGGGTGTAGCTGCACAGTATAGTTTGTTTCCTGGATGTTGAGCACATGGCACAAAGCTCAACTGGAGCCTCAATTTTGAAGTGTAGAAACCATAACTAGAAGGAAAACTGTTACATCAGCTACTACTACAAAGGGAGAATGTTGAGTATTATTAACAGATTGTTTATTCTAATGGAGCAAGTATTATTTCAAATTTTGTTTTCATTATATGAGGTTCAGTGTTTTCTGTAGGTTATGGAAAGTGTCTTATCATGTTCCAGATTCTTCTGACAGTCTCATTTACTTCCAGAAATGGCAGGGAAACAAAGTTTATTTGGGTTTGTTTTTTTAAAAGGGTCAGGTCGTAATTGATTTTCTGCCCCTGAACAGCCTGTAGAAGTGATTCCTTTGCCTAGAAAAGGCACTTGAAGAAATGGAAAGAATCTACTTGCAGTGTAAGCAATGCCAGTTTAAAAGATGTTTAACAAAACCAAAAGGAGCACTTAGAAGTTGCTCTATTTTATTAAAGACTTCGTGGAACACTTTACTTTCAAGGATCCTTACAAGCATTTACTTGAACTTTAAAACAACTTAACAAGATTGTGATGAGCAAGTAATGGTTCTGGGACCATTTGGGGTATCAGGTCAAACCAGTGAATTCCCCATTTGTTCTGGAATTTCTTTAGCACAGGTGGGCTCATATATGTTCTGGGGATGCACCAGTCTCAGATATAAAGCCCTGGTAACTCTTCATTTCTCAGTGCTGTTATTTCCTCTTCTGTGAAGCACAAGATCACTTGTTTTTTAAAGTGTTCTCTGATCAAATAGAGTGAGCTATCTTTCCCTAGTTCTTTGAAAATACGCTACAAAATCTTTTGTGCATTTTTGGGAAGTTTAAACACAATGAACCTCAAGTAGTTTCATTCCTAACATGCTGTATGTGCCTTAGCCTTGATGAAATTGCAGCTTGGATGACTTTGATCTTATCAGCCTTTTGGAAAAAGCAGTGTTTTTTGTGATGTGAAATGAGTGACATTTGATGGTGGTGGCTTTGACAAACTAATCTTTCACATTTTGGCTGGATTTGGAGTTAGGTTGTTAGCCACTGTGGTGGGAAGAACTATATTTAATTTTTTCCTATGACATGAAGTGATGAGAAAATTGAATTTATTATGTTTTCACAATAAAACATGATGTATTTATCCCCATAAATGAAATAGAAGTTCTGCATAACCCAGTGTCAATGGTGACCTAGATTTCAATCCCCCTATTTGTAATCATACAATGAAATTTTCTGTCTCTCTTTTTAAAAAGGATCTTTTCAATTTTTATCTCTCAAAAAACAAGAGTTTCTCATTAAGAATACACTCTTTATTCTTTCTTCCAGTTATATATGAATCTTATCTTGAATTTAGTTTGCCATGGGTGCCAAGCAGAGGTCTGTGTGTTCACAAAGCCAAGTCTGTGTGAGATTATGAAACACACATGTGCTTCAAGTACCTCCAAACAGAATTCAGTGTTCCTAAATCCAGCTGTGTAGTACAGTACTGACTTTGTTTTCTGTGTTCTACAAGACCTGAGTTCAGATTAGTGAAAGTTTGACTCCTTGCCTGTCACTGTGTTTTATCCAGAATGGAGCACACTGTTGAAATTCTGAGATCTTTGACCATATTTTTCCATGAAGTGGAGTCCGAGGGGAGTTTTGCTGTGTAACTTGAGGCTTATGTCTGTCTTCTGTTAGAGCAGGTGTTTGGAAATATTTTTTTTAAAGATACTACCAGTTACTCTAAACCAAGCTCTCCTTCCTAACCACCATCTGTCACTGCAAAGGAAGGAAGGGACATCCCCACTGGAATCAGGGTGAAGCAGGAGCTCAGCTCCCACTGCTCATTCCCACTGTCCTTCACAGTCTTTTATTGATTTGTTGGTGTCAAGAATAAGAATACTCAAATAATGAAAGTCATCATTCTGGATGTTGAAGTAATTCTGAGAAATGGATATGAACAATTCTCATATCTAAGGGAGGATGGAAGAGAGAAGCATTACAACGTTCAAGGAATTGCTTTACATGTAGACCCTGCATCTCTGGGGTGGTGGTAGAGATACTGATAGAGGGCTTCTGAGATAAGTGTTGGTAACAAAATGACAGATTTTTATTCTAACAAATTGTAAAGATCTCTCTGAATGGCTTTAACCTCTGGTCTTTTCTTTTTTTTTTTTTTTTTTTTTTTTTAAGGAACAAGCACTGAATGACAGTACTTTGGTAGTTGGCTCTCTTCTTAAAAATCTGAATTTGTAGCATTTGGAGGAGAAGTTACTTGCCATTCTGCAACAAGTAATTCCAGAAAAGTGAGCTAATGGTGAGTTGGATCTAAGGTTATTATGTCTGCTGCTTCCTTCTGGTAAACATAAACTTCAATTAAGAATGTATTATTCTCAGGGTCTGACAAGTACCAAGGATTTATCACAATAAGAACACTGCCTTCCTATTGTTTATAAAAACACTGAAACAAGGCCTCTAGGTTATAATTCAACTCCCCTACAATTATCAGGCTGACACTTTATTAAAAAGCTATTGAAGGAACCCTCATTAAGAGTGTGTTCAAGCCACCTTTGAAATATAGGCATGAAAAGTACTTCAAAATACCTTGGTGAGCATTACAAGCAAAAGGGTCTATGTTATTTACAGGGACCCCTCATTCCATATTATGCAAGACTTACTGAAACCAATTGCAATGATACATTTAAATTATTGGGGGGGCGAGATGGGAATCCTGAGATCTGAACATATGTTAAGTGATACAAGTGAGACTTTCAATGTCACTTAACTTACATTTGCTGTGAACAGATGGGATTTTTGTTTTCTAATTCTCTGAATTGCCTTTAGGAATTCCATCCTAGACCAAATCGAAGATACAATTTTTTTCCCCCAGTCACTTAGTCACAGAGAAGGCTGAAGGTGTGAGTATATATTGAAAATTGTTCTCTTTTGCACTTCTTGCTTGTAGTTATTAGTGATATTTTCTAACTGGAGGAACTGTAATTAAAATCAGATGACAAATATATCCTGAAATTTTTATGCATGAAAAACTTGCCAGCACTGCCAGCTGCTGATGCCATTTCAGAAACATTTCATTTGCTTGTAATATCTCAGTGGGTTGTTGTGGAAGTTTATTGTCAATCTCAGCCTAATTCTGGAAACAAGTAGATAGAATACTTAAAAATATAGCTCCACAATGTCCTCATTTTCATCCCTGCTTTAGAAGAAAGAATATTACAGTTGGAGTTGGATGTTGCTCATTATTTTTAAAGAGTACTGGTGTTTAATTCTGGAAAGGAGCATACACCATGGTGTTAATGACATGCAATTATGCAGCAGTCTGTAAAACCCCCAAACCCAAAACTATTGGGTGATCAAAAGACAAGCTTATGTTCCACCAGGTCACATAAGCATATCCACTGTTTTGACTACAGTTTCCAAGAAATTCAGTAGCTGAAATTTGGGATTACAGTCTCTAAAGAGGCTCAACTTAATTGCTTTAATGATCTTGGGCCAGGTGACTTCTCTCACTGAACTGGAGGTGATGCATTGGTGTGTGTGTGAAGGAAATACTTCAGTTGAAACAAAACTGAGCATACTCAAACAGTGTGACGTTTCCAGCTCCTCAGACTCTGTGTGGAGCCCAATTCACACAGAATGTGATCAGCTGTACTTGAGTGTTGGCTAATCTTCAACTGCAGTCAATAAATCAGCCTGGCCAGGGAGAGAGTAGGCGAGTCAAACATGGACTGTGCTGTTTGCTTTTGTAGCCTTTTTGAGAGGTCAGATAATGGAGACATCAATTAAAAGCAAGATAAACAGCAGGGCTCTTCCAGTGCAAGAGTGTTTCCCTTTCTTAAATGGGAGTGTGAATTTAGCTTTAGAGGAAGCAGCCAAATCATTGTTTGTGCTTATAAGCAACATAATTCAGACATAGCTGGTGAAAACTTCAGTGCTCAAACTTCTTTCATAGAATGCAGACTGTAGATCTTGACTGAATATGTCAATGTCCAAACCCTTTTTACTGAAAACAGTGGTTTGGTTTTTTTCAACCTCAATGATCTTCCAGTGTTTTTTTCAATTATTTTAGCATGACTTCAACACTTAAAATGAAAGCTCATTGTGATGCACATATGTCTAGTAGGAGTCCTAGTAAAATCTATGTATTGTATGAGTGGCCTTGCCCCAATCGTAGTTGTTCTAAATGAGCTGCAGCTCAGTGATGTCCTTAATTGAGCAGCAGCTGTGGCTAATGAAGATAACTGGGATAAAAGGGGGTGGGCTGGCTGGTCAGGGTGAGCCTTGGAGGAGCCCTGACGAAGGAGCAGGAATGGTGCTGCTGGGAGGAGCTGTTTATGAGAAAATGTCCCAGAAGGTATGGGACTCTAGAAATATGATAACAACAATATGAATGCAATGCATGGGTGTGAAGGAAATACTTCCATTTGGATAAAACAGAACAAACTTCAGTGTGTCACTCCCAGGCTCTAATGGGGCCTAAGTGTGCTGTTTCGTAAGGGTCTTTGCCAGCAATGATCTTTTTTATGGTGGGTGAGACAGCAATATTTATCCATTGACCTTTATTACTTGGGCTGTTTCATGAAAATATCCTCTTTTCTTCTGCAGTCTTGTAATCTAATAGACTTGATAAATAGCATGGTTTTATCTCTGTTTTTGTTGAGTGTATATTTTGGCTCCCAGTCGTGTTTGATAGGCCCCAAGCCCTGATGTGTGCAGTAGGCAGAGGTGCCATTGCTGAGAGTGTTGTTTGACAGGAAAAGAAAGTGCTGAATCAGAACATCTGTTGAGAAGTGCTTTGGCAGGGAGTTTGTCCTCAAAACTGGGAAGCGGGTTGTTCTGACTCCAAGAGCTGGTGATCTTGGCCTTGCAGAGGGGAGAAGTACCCCTTTATGGGGTCATGCTGTGCTCAACAACAGATGTGTTCAGCTGGCCGTAGTTCAGAGGATTTACAGGAACTTTGTTAAAAAATGAGCCAAAAGGTAGCACACTCTGGTAGTTGATGGTGATTTCTTACATTGCACTGGATACTGCACAATAATTTGGCAAGAAGGCAGAGCCAGCTGTGAGGTGGATGGAGCCACATATGTTTCCACACCCAAGAGAGAGGTTTGTGTACAGAATTACAGTAGGAATAAGGCTGAGTGAAAGATATCAAAGGTTATTCCCATAGAGATGTTTGGATTTGTAGATAAATGCACTTGGTGTGGTTGTTTTTGTGTTAACTTTCTGACTATAAAAGAGTTTCATTGCATTGAAGTCTATAAAGCAGTACATAGTGAAAAAGTACTTAAAGATTCTTCCATTCGGAACTCAAGAGCCTTGCATGACTTGTGTTTGTGGTCTCTTTCCCAGACTTGAAATGGTGATACCACTTGAAATGTCTTCCCATTTCCCCAGTTGCGCCTTGTTACTACCAGCACCCAAAAAGCTTAGTGTGAGGAGAGATGCCATGTTTTTCTCTCTGATGTGCTGCAGCACTGAAAAATGATGCAAAATGAGGTTGGAGCTTCTACCTGCTGAGCTTCTGCAGCAAAGCAGGGAACAGACACCAGCCAGGCTCCTGGTGGCTTGCTGTAGCATCAGGTGGAGGGAACTGGGTGTAAGTCATCTGCAGCACTTGGAATGCTTCACTAGAGCTGTTTGACAGAGCTAAGTGATCAAACTTTTTAGGGCCAAGTGGGAGAAACTTGCTCTTTGCTTTGGACCTGCCTGTCCTCCTGTGAGAGTGCAGGCAGTGACAGCAGTGTGAGCTGCTCCTGCAGAGCCTGGCTCCTCACTGCTCGCAGTTTCCATTGCACTAGATAACAGTTATCTATTGCACTAGGTAACTAGTGCAATAGATAAACTAGTCCCAGAAATGAAGGAAACCCTGAAGGTTTTCGAATCACCACCAGACTGCCTATTTGCTCATCTTCTGTTGTTGAGAGGTGTTCAGGAAACAGGGCCAAAATTGCTGTTTTACAACACTGTGGTAGTGTTTCATTGTGGGCATCAGGGAATGCCTCTAGAGGTGAATGTTGTTTCTCACTAGAAGTGCTCCAGACAAACAGATTGGAGTGATAGTGCTGATGATGTCCAATATTTGAGGTGAACTTTGGAATGAAGTGAGTGATAACCTTTGGAATGATTAAATTATCACCCAAAAATGCATTTGGCATTTGTATATGAAGTACACAACTGGAAAAGTATGTGAAATACTTACATGCCAGTTCAGCTGAGCTGCCTACTACTAGACTAATTCTGCTGGGCAAGACTTTGTCTGGTACTGCTGAAAGCTTCTTGCTCCTACAGGAGCCACAGTGCAGGATATTAAAAAGCTACAGATGTTTCAAGACTGCAGTGGCTGCCATAATAATTTCCTATAACAAAACACCAACAACAAACAAACCCCCCCAACCTCCCTCCAAATAAAACAAGAAAGAAAAGAGAGTGTGAATGTGACAATGAGGTTTAGGTGCAGGGAATCTAACCAGTGAACTTCTAGTTTTCCATACAGAAGGGTGAAGTTACCAAATGTTATAAGAGAGGAAAAGAGTAGGACAGCTTTTAGGAGGTTCTAAATTTATAGAGGATTCTGGGTGAAGTGGGACAGCTAAGTTCTGACCTGGCATATTGCTTATCCTCTTTTCTTGGCATTTACTTTCAGATAAAACCAGCTGGCTTCAGAAAAGTGGTTCAGTGCTAAGTGCTTCCAGGACCTGCAACTGGAGCTGTGGTAATTGACAGCAGTTCCCTTTATTGTATGTATCTTAATAAAACAAGTCCTCTTACTATCAGGGGTTTTTTTCAACTTAGCTAAACACATTGTTTTCATCAATATCTTTGGCCGTCCTTCTTGGAGCCCTTTGGACTCTGCACCATTCCTATTCACATGATGATCTCGCATTCCTCCTGGAGACAAAAATGTGTGCTCATGCAGCTAGAGAGTGGAAACTTACTGATTGTACAGAGCTTGGCAGGAGCTCCTGTTCCAGCCTCCTGACAGGAGCAGGGACAGGCTGCATTTCTCTAAGTGCTGAGCCAATCAAAGCCTTCTTGTCTCTGATGCTTCTTCTCTCCCTGTGCCTTTCTTCATTCTTATGACAAGTATGCAAAACAAGACAGCAGCTTTTTTTCTGTGCCTAGTTAGTGTAGGCAAGGTTTGGAGCAATACAGACCCCTTGTACCAACATTTCTGCAAGAGCCCTGCAAGTGGAGCTGCCTACAGCCAGAGCACAGATCATGTTTTATGTCTGACACATCTACCTTTTAACATATTAGAGCAGGAGATGGAACAGCTCCTTTGGAGTCCCCAGATGAATCAGCAGTGCAGACTGGCTTTCTGCTGCCTGCAGCTCTGTCTGTGCTCCTTGTTTTAACTCTTTGCTAGCCACAATCCAGACCAAAGAGAAAACTGCAGTAAATGAAGTTCCCTGACTGCATGAATGTATATTTTTATTGTATTATTAAATTACGTAAGCTACTGCCTGCAGTAGAAGTGTGTTGCAAAAGCAGTATCTGTGTGGGGCTATATTGGAAGAGAAGAGCTCAATGCATAATATTTTTTCCCATTTTTCTTTTGAAACATTGATACTAGCAAGCTTTAAGGAAGTGGTTCAAGCACATCAGGTGACCTCAAAGCCATAACTGTACAGATGCTTTAGGGAAAGGCTTGGTGAATTACTCCTGAAGGTTCAGAGCAAAGGCAGCCTGTTTCTGGCCTTCCTTCCACTGCTTGATGCCCTTTCCATGAAGTCTTATAAAACATGAGTTTTGAATGGGTCATATTATGGGCACTTACCCAGTCAGGGCTTCACATTGATTTAATGACTAGCATTAAAGGTATGTCTCCAAACTTTCATCAAAATATCCAAGACTAGCTTTGCAGCTGGGTTATGATAAATAATATTTTGCAGGCATGCATTTACAGCCAGTATGCCTGAATTTCTGGTATATTCAACCTACCAGAAGAAAGACTTAGTCATTTGTAATTGTATTATTAAAACTGCCAGTCTGATATTTTAAAATTTAAGTCTCAAAGCAAATATTCTTATTATAATTCTCACAGGTTCTAAAGAGTATGGAGTTCTAAAGAGCTAAGTCTGAGTTTGGCGAAGCTGTAGTGCAGTACTGAGTATAAATCCACTGTAAGTAGATCTCTAGTGGCTGTGAATGCCAGGGGAGAGGAGGATTAGTGCTGTACCATTAGTTATGTTGAGATGTACTTTGAAGAATGTGAAAAACTAATTTTTTTTATCAGCAAAACCCATAAGGCCTGGGTTCAGTGACAAGTTTCTGCTTTCCTAAGAAATATTTAAAACCCTGTAAACCACAGAGAACCAGCTTGCACTTCCAAGAAAATAAGACCGATGAGCTAATACCTTTTCCCTCCCTATCCTTCTTTCTCCTGCTTGGCTGCTGGCTGTGGCCATGCTGTGGCTCACCAGCTCTTGTGCTTGGGGAGCATTTGGGCTGGAATGAGTGTAGGACAGGTGAGTGCTTGGGGAGTGTCCTCACTCACACTCCCCAGCCAGTTCCTTCCCCAAGGAAGAGCACAGCAGCATGAGAACTGTCACTGCCTGCTCTGCTGGGCCTAAAGTTCAGCCATGTGCTCAGAGAAAGGAGGCACCAAGCTCAGCAGGTTTTTCAGAGGACACTGATAAAACCTTGATGTGTTCCAGATTTTCCCCTTACCCTTGCTACCCTCTCCTATCCTCACACAGTCACTGCCTTGAGTCACAGTGCGTTTGTTGTTACCGTCTGTGCTGCAGCACTGCCTCTAAAAGGCAGTTTTCCCTGCTAATGCTTCCTCTGCTGAGAACCCCAAAATTTTGTAGACTGCAGTATTTTTAAGTGACACAGTTGCTAGAACATGCCATAGTGAAGAGGCCAGCTTGGCTAAAGTTGGGTAGGATCTGGTTAAAACCCCTGTAACTCAAACAGGAAGAGAGAATGTCAAGTAGTGAATGGACAGGAAGTCAGCTTTAAAAGCCCAGGATGCTGTTTTTTTACTAGCATTGAGTGTTTTCACTTTCACTGAAGTTGTTTTTTTCTTGTTGATAAATTACTTTTGCATTGTTTGCTTTTTAAGAAAGGAAATCTTTTTTCAGGGAAAGCAGTGAGTGGACTTGCAAATTTTAACACAAACAGGGCTTGTTTTATGCAGCCATGACCAATATGAGAGGTTATATATCAAAGTGTTTTCTTTAGCTGAAAATCCTGAGAACAAGTAAAACTCAGAGAAAATGGAGAGCTGTTCCATGCAAAGAGTAGCTAGAGGTCTTGTTTTGGTTCACTTGTTTATTTCAAGATCAAAGAGATTTCTGGAGAACTGTACTGATATGGAGACAGTTGTTGGAACTTTGGATTTGGTAACACTAACAGCTGCTGATATCCTTGAGAGGAAGAGCCTTGGTAGCAGTGCAAAACAAGCTCAGTGCTTCCAGCTGCACTGGCAAAAGCTTGGCTGAAGATATCACTGCTGTGAGAGAGGAGAAGAGAGCAAGAGTGGTGGTGTGGGCTGCCTGGAAAAATCACAGAGGTGAAGGACAAAGTGTTCTCAGTCTGATATGGACAAAGTTAAGATTAAGGTTGATTGGATTTGATTGCCCTGTGGTGTGGTGAGTTCCTTTAGGAGTTAGACTGCATATTTGTGTAAAGCTTGTATTTCACTCTGCAGTTAAATGGAAATGTTTCTCAACAGGAGATATATCTGAGAGCTTATCTAGGAAAAACACATAGAGATTATGGGAAAACTCAGTTTTTTAAAAAAATTGCAAGATGGGAATTCAGAAGTCTTAGTTTGGGCCAGAAATATTGCTAAGGGATACTGTAGTCTTCCCCTCCTTTTGATATGTAGAAGGATTTGGATTTGGCCTTTATCTTCTGACCCTGTCTGACCTGCCATAGCTCTGAAGAGTTTGACAACCCATGATAAGGCAAAGCAGAACTTGTACTGGAAAGAGTGTTTTCCAGGCAGTTATCAAATTACTTGGAGCTTTTCATCAAAGCAAATGAATCTGCAGCAGTATGGATTGAATATGGTTCAGTTAGTCCAGAACACTTAACTGCCAACCAGTTAATTTCACTGATTCCTGGTTTTATTTATATCACAAAAGAACTTTGGGTGCAAAAGTGTGCTGCTGGGATGGCATTGCCTGGGTAGCAGATTGGGAAAGGAAGCAACCCTTGATAGAATGTAGGTATGGGAAGATGGTGTTGTTTCAGTTACATTTTTAAGAGTTTTTTTAAAAAAACTCTAGTTCTGCTAGAAATCAGAAAATGTGTTTGAGGACAGGTTCTCTTTTCACTTGCTCTGTTCAGCAGGTCTCCTTCCAGAGTAAAGACAGTGGCACAAATGGTAGGAATGGAAACAACTACCAAGATTTGGGCTTTGAAGCAAACAAGTTTTGTGTGTAAACCTGATTCTTTTTAACTTCCACTGCAAATTTCCAGCATTCCCAGGTGCTGAGGTTGTCTCATCTGTTTTAGAGCATAAATTAATGGGCAATGGTCAGTGAGCCACAATCTTGGCTGTTGCCAACTTTGGAAGCTATGCCAAGTTCACAGTGCTGAATTCGGCCTACTCCTCTAATTTCCAGTTCTGCATATGAATTTGGGTACTGTTGAAAGGGGGCTTAAAAACTGAGTCACTGAAATAAATCCAGTTAGGAGGATGGACATTGTAAAAGCAGTATATGACTGATGCCATGGGCCCTGCAAGCTCAGGGTAATTAGGTTTCATACTTCACTTTTTGCAGCTGAGTTGTTGCCTAAGGGACAGCAGAATTTCTTCTAGTGTTTATAAATTCAGCTCTAGCTGCAGAGCCTCTGGATGATTCACTTGGCAACTTCCCAGTATTTTGTTTTCCTGCTTCCTTAATACAGACCCCAAAACCTTAGAGATACTTTAATTTACTGCAGCCACCTCTTTTAAATCAAGAAAATCAATTATTTTACCTTCAGCAGTAATCAGACTTTCCTGTATTTTTTTCTTAAAAGTAAAATGGGAGTGTCTTCAAGAAAGGCTATAAATTTAGCAGAACAATTCCTTTCTGTGAAGAACATTCATCAGGGAAGGGTTCATGGCAGCTCTGTGCAAAGCCACATGCATGGATGCAGTGTGGAACAGAGACAGAAAATGCTGCAGGTACCAGGCATTGAGAAAGTCCTGCATCTCACTTAGCTGTACAGAATCCACTTCTCTGTGGGAGAATATTTCATTTCCTATACTCGGCTTTAAAAAGCAGAGTCAGGTTTCTTTAAATAAGCATGTAGAATGCATGTTCTAGAGAAAGTGAGAGCCTGTTCAAAATCAAATCAGTGCACTCAATAAGACGTCCATGGGAGTGGCTTTCACCTCAAGCAGTTGTATTTTTTCTGTCTTTTTTCTATTGAGTAATTCATCTAAAGTAATATAATTTATTTGAAAGCAAATTAAAGGGATACTGTTGGTTCAGGGAAAAAGTCCCTTTACTCCAATATTATTACCCCCTTAGAACTCCCTGTTCTTTTTAATTGATTTAAGCTAATAAAATCCAATTCTCATGAAGCAGCTACACCAGTTTGAATCAATCACAGGCTGTCAGGTACCATCCTTGAAAATACACTACACCAGGGAAACGACATAAATAGGACAGAAAGGGAAGGAATTAGCTAAGTTAAGGTCTATCTTATGTGGGAATACTTTCCTTTTATCAAGTAAGGTAGCCAGCAATCCTCCCTGCTGTGTTAGAGAACAGAGGACAATGACACTTATAAA